GCACAAACCACTGGTTTTTCAGTGGGGCAGTGGGGAAGCTGTCACATTGCTGCACTACATACAGCTGCTCTTTGCTGGCTGTTGAGCTCAGGTTTGAGCTGTTGGCTGTTGGATTGCTAAAAAGACTGAAATTTGTGCAAGTGCAGACAAGAACAACTCCCAGTGCAGCATTATTTGTGTCTCCAGTGCTGGAGGACTGAAGGCAGGGTCATCATTGATTGGAAAGCTGATCACGATAAAACTGAGCTCATCTGAGACTCAGAATTTTCTTTTGGTTTCAGCTGAGTGAATGCTTGCATTGAATGCCCAGGGGTTTCAGTCAGGTGCCCCACTGAGAGCTACTTGTGCCACAATGACAGCAGCGTGCAGGAGTGGTGCAGGCAGGATAGCTGAAGTGGAGCATCAGGGATTCTCATGGGAAGAGGAGAAAGGCCTGACTGGAGGCTAGAGGATGCTTCCCAAGGGGGATCTCAGACCAGTTTAGGAGAAGAAGGGAGAAATGCAATCTTGTCCTTTGCTCAGGAGGTGTTTTAGCTGCTAAACCTTTCTTCTGCCAAGTTACCCAAGCAGATTTTAAGGTCTCCTGTATTTGTTCCATGTTTGTGTGATTTGACTTCCCAGCATTGTTTCTGGTGTCAATCTGCTGAAATGAGAAGAGATTCCAGAACCACTGGGAATGCTGGACATCAAATAGCTTCAATCAAAATGCATCTCTCATCAGTGTATGACCAAAAAAAATCTTCAGTGACAGGAGTATGACAAATGATCACTGGGATCTCTGTTACAGCTTTTGCAAACTGCTGGATGCATTTCTTATGGGTCCCTTGCAATCTCCCTCTCAGGGTAGTGCTGCAGCACAGCTCCTGAGATTTACTGTTTTTGTGTGCTCTTCTAATGATGCTTGGATGTGTATTCATTCTTTAAATTAATAACGTCATCAAGAAAAGTGTTGGTAAGAGGAGTAAAAGGCAGAAGGAGGCTTGGTTCATTTGAAACGCAGAAACTTTAATAAGAGCTTGAAGCTTGCTTTCATCAATATGGGATTTGTTAAACTCTTATGTGAAAAAAAAAGAAACAGATGTGTATTTTTTTGGATGTAGGTGATAAACTGAAACATTTCCAAATTCCTTTCTACCTTCAAACAAGAGATCCATTATGTCCTAAGAATAACTGTTGTATGACTATTTCCCTGCTTGAAAACAGCACCATTATTCCATGAAGCTGAAAAATACAAGAAGGAAATAAAACCCCAACAGGAAATTAAATTTGCACCTTATTTAGTGCACAGTAACAAAGTAGATCATTAGAATTTTCTTAATGAATAGCATTCACTTCTGCAGACTGAGAGCTCAGATTCACAGACTCTCCTTGTGTGGTTTTTTTTCTTCAGTGCTGAAACAATTTTTACTTAACACCAACATGGAGTTCAACTCTCCCTGACAATAAGGCTATGGAAATCCTAAATAATGCTCAGTAAGAACAAATCCTGCTTTCATTCTCTTTGAAAAAACTCTGATCTCTTAATTTTTATCATCACCGTTAAAGCTTGGAAGTGACTCACCCTAAGAATGGTCCAGGTCCCTGGATCCACAGGCAGCTGGATTGCTCTTGACCAGCCCAAATTTCCACAACAGACCCTGTAGCTTTGGGAGCTGACAGCAGCCCTGGCAGTATCTCCAACCTTTTTGTGCTCCAAGGATGCAAAACAGGAGCTCCAGAGAGTAGTTGAAGACAGAAAAAGCTAGTGGGTGGCTGTTTTCCATACAGTGGGAGGAAGAACTATATTCCAGCTTATTCCATTCACAAAAGAGGCAGGATGGTTTGTTTGGAATATGAAATTCTTTGATATACAGACTCTGAGAGAAAGGCTGAGTGCCTCCAAGAGCTTTTGAAGATAGTGTTTTCTTCTTTCATTTAAAAAAAAAAATGCTGGCTTTTTTTTTCTCTATGCTTGTTGTACCTTAGGGAACAAAGTGCTCCCCAGTGTCTCCTGTTTCAGAAAGAGGGTTTTGGTCTTGTAAAACAGAATTTCTTCCATCATACTGAGCAGGAAGGATCTTGGGGAAATGTTTTTCTTCTGTAGAACTATTTCTGTGTGATGGATGTTTACAGAATACCTCTTGCTTTTTGCCTTCAAACATGATTTGTGCATCACTATTGGCTCCACAAAGTAATTCTTTCAAAGTAATTTTCCCCATCAGTATAGAAAAAAAAAAGTTGCATTTTTACAGTTAACTGCCATCATTTAGATATAAATTTTTCTTTGATGACATGATATGTGTACCACAGCAGTTGTGTAGATCACACCATCAGCATGAACTGTACATATGTAGAGTTCACAGCTGATTTCTCTTCACTGCCTCTGCTGCTTGAGGCATGAACAGTGGTGGGCATATGGTCTTTCTTTTTAATAAAAGACAAATGCAATTTGTCCCCTCTTTTGTGGTTTTCTACAGTGGTCATAAATATGTGTGCTCAGGCAATATGTGTCAGCTTGAGGGGATACCTTGGCATACCTCTGCACAGTTGCAAAAAGGAGCAAAAAAGAAGGAAAAAGAGCTGCTCAATCCCTTCCCTCTTACACACCACATTCATTGTACACAGAGTGTGGGTACAGCCATGTTTGTCCTTTCTGATTTGATCTCTGACTCAAAGTGAAAGCAGCCGGCTGGAATAGCATTTTTCCAGCCATGGCTGTTAACAGTCTGGGTGACCCTTGTTTTTCCCATGTAGCTTAAAGCTGTGATTAGTGATAGGAACACATGTGCTAAATTGACTGCAAAAATCCCTTGTACTGTGGGGTTGCCTGGGCTTGTTTCTAATTCTTGCAGATTGGTGTGTGCTTCCTGCTGTGTGGATGCCAGAGATGATGAATCTGCTGGGGGCTCACATCATGAGCACTTCTGCTTGGGCCTGAGTTCATGGCTTGCCAGTGTGGGAGAATTTAACTCAGACATTCTGGGTTATTTGCAGAATGAGTTACAGATTAGTAGGAATGGTAGAAAGAAGACTTCATAAGGAAAAGGGCAGTAGAAGGAGATTCCTTTTGACAATAGCAATTGCTGTCTCTAAAAGACGTGTGAACTATTTAACCCCCATTTTCACTGAATCCCTGTGGCCATGCATGCAAAGAGGGTAGAGCATAATAACTGTGAGTGCATGAACCCTTTCCTTCCATGTTTGTAGGAGTTGTTGCAAACAATGATCTCTTTATGATGCTGAAGCTTCAGAAGAAGCTAGAACAGAAGTGATATTGAAAGTTACTTTTGATCATCCCAGCTTATCAGAGCCTTGCCTAGGCAGGTAAAGGGGGCTGCAGTGACCAAATGAGTTCTTCAAAAAGTGACTCTCTGGTAGAACTGGGGATCATAGCAAAGAGCCAGAGACTTCACACATGCAGCTCCTGAGGCACACCCAGCTGCACACTGAGCACCTTCAGCTTGAGGCTGAAAAATAGATATACTTGGATGTTAAAGCTACTAGGATATAGATATACTTGGATGTTAAACTACAATTTAAATAATCACACAGACACATGAGTACTCCATAGCGCTTAATGAAATTTAGCAGCTTCTAAAGCATCTTTTAAACATTAAAGCAGAATTCTCAATTTCTACATGATTTAATGGTAATGATCTGTACAAAGTAACTTGGAGAAGCAAACCTATTGTAAGCAGGTTTTCCACTGGACCTCCAGTGGAAAACTGTGGTGTAAAGGTTACCGGTACATTCTACCTAACAGGATATTTTACTGTTAATTTGAAAATAATATTTTAAAGAAAACGGAGATCAGTAGAAGAAGAAGGACTGAAAGTGTTTTGTTTTGTTTTGTTTTGTTTTTTTCTGGAGGTTTACCTAAAAAAAAAAACCAGCTTGGAACCTTTTGCAGCATTTTAACAGAGCCTTAACAGTAGTTCTTTGTAATTCTCCTCAGTCACTGATAATTGAGTTTTGGCTGCTTGTGGATTTAATGCCACCATGAAATGTAATTTGTTTGCACATGGAATATTATCACTGTCTATGCAGAAATGTGAAACCAGAAAAATGCTGGTACTGATAGTGCTTTCCTTCTAAGCTGCATTTTAGTACTGTTTATTGTTGTTCTATTAATTATTGCTACAGTAGCAGTCATTAGACCTCCAGGGCTGAGCAACAGAGAAAGGAAATTTGCAATCCCTGCCCCAAATGCCTTGCAATTTTAATTTTCAAGGCAGGTAGCTAATAAGATACTAGCCCATTATAACAGTGCTGAGGATGAATGTTGGGTACAGTATTGTGCTTGGGACTTGTGGCAGAAAGAGGAATTGAGCCCAGTCCCCCAATAATCTTTCTGTATTTCGTATTTTAATTTTTCAAGGACCGTGTAACTGCAAGGACCTAGTATACTGCTTGTTTATTTTTCCTTAATACTCAGAATCTCTGATATTGTATATTTCTGATATTTGATCTGAACATACTTGAATCTTATGAGGGGGGATGAGATGGCATTCCTTACAGAGTTAAGTTAACATGCTAGACTGCTGTGAACTGTGGTTTCTCTTACTGAATTACACAGATACAGCAATATACAGAGGATCAGGAGGAGTGCCAGAAACCCAAGTGCCTGGGAGGAGATGAGTATAAATTTTTGGTGATACACAGGGGAACACTGAATAGGTAGTTTTGAATTCTTTGTTGAATCCAAGCTAAAGGCACAGTGTGAAATTCAATCTCCCATGGCACTTTCTCTTCATGGGGTTTGGCTGTTTGAGGCAGGATTGCTTTCTGTCTCTGTGTTGACCAGAAATGCCAATGTAGAACTCTGAATATTTTCTCAAAGCAAAACAGGCACCTGGTTGTGATGTGTTCTGGTTTGAGTGAATAGGCATTTCACAGTGGAAAACCTGCCAAGTCACAGAAATCCTTGACTGGCTCTTCACCCTTTTACTGATACAATTGAGCAGCTGACATCCTTAGCAGTGATATTTTTCTAATCTGTCTGGTTTGTTTTTTTCTTCCAGTGTGTGGCTGTGACCTGGCACAAGGAGGCTTTTTTATTAAGAATGGAGAATATCTCTGCACCTTGGACTACCAGCGCATGTACGGCACCCGCTGCAATGGCTGCGGGGAGTTCGTGGAAGGAGAAGTAGTGACAGCTCTGGGGAAAACTTACCATCCAAGCTGCTTTGCCTGTACTGTCTGCAAGTAAGTCATCCCTTCAAACAGCATGGCAGGAACCCAGTTCAAGGAAAACAGAAGGAAAGGTGTCGCGACCAGATCCAAGTCTCAAGACAGATTTCTCTTGAGAATGCATTTATTTTGTTATGAAAGATCTGCTGCAGATCTGACTTGAAAGGTCTTGAAAATGCCACTCATTTATATGGGGAACATGGCTTTTGTATGACATGTAGTTCCCGGTTCTCAGAAAGTTGCTCTCATTTCTGAAAGAATTAAGTGTCAGGCTTACACACTGAGATAATTAACCTGAGCTCAGGTGATCAGCCCACTTGGTGGGAGAAATGAAGCAAAATTCTGGATGCTACATTTGAGCTCTGAGGACAGTCCAACAATCACATAAGAGCATGTGGCTTTGGGACTACTGGGATTCCCCCTCTTCCCAAATACTCTTTCTTGTCCCCAGTAAGAGAGCCAGTCTTCAGTTCTGCAGCAAGTAATAAGGAGTTAGCTACGGCTCTGTGGATCGGAGAAAGGTGGCAATTTAAACTCCTGTCTCTGATAAGTAGTTGAAGTACTTTGTCCTTTAGCCTGGTACATTTTTCAAGCCCTTTTCTATTGAAAGAATCTTGGTTGTTTTCTATTTTAAATAGGGTGTGAGTTTCCTGCATTTTGGTAATCATATAATGTATACGTTGCAGTTTTATTTCCCAGGGACAGTGTGAAACATGACATCAATTTTCTGCACATTGACTTGCATCAATCTTTTTATGTTGAATGAACAAAAGATGAGTCTTTGAAATAGAGTAATGAAATTCAGTATTGCTGCTGATTTATTTTTGGCCTACTTAGAGATGGCAGTGGAAAGGAAACGATGCCTGAAACATTTTGTTTTGTTGAAATCAGCAGTAGATTTGCTCAGCAGTTTTGGAGTGAGGTGGGGGTCTACACTCAGCAGTTAATACTCCTTATTAAAGATTTGGAGTTATTAAATGTTGTTCATCCTCTGATTTAGGCACCAAATAAGAGTTAACAGCAATGTCAACTGCTGCCTAACACACATTCTTAACATTTATGAGTGACTAGCTCCACATTCCTTCGCCAACCTCAAGAACAGTTCTGATTCTTTGAGTTTTCTTCTGTATCATTTGCTTTTCACAGCATTACGCTGAGACCTTCATAAATGTAGCTGTTGTGTCTTAGCAGATTTCACTGTCTCTGCTATTCAGATAAAATACATTTGATAATCTTTTTAAAGTGAAAATACAAGGCAAGTCTAACCTCTGCTCTGCTTGCATCCATGGATTGGATTTCTTCCAGTGCCTGGCTTTGCCAAGGCCACATTGCAGAAACTATTTGGCCTGAGTTTCTGTAAAATATTGATTGCGCTGGAGGAAGGCAGACAACTCAAGGCGTGGGGAACAGAGGAAAATCTCTGGCATAACCTTTGCAAAAATACATTTTTCTCTTGAACTTTCCAGGCGTCCATTTCCACCAGGAGATCGAGTTACCTTTAATGGAAGGGACTGTCTCTGTCAGATGTGCGCTCAGCCGATGTCCTCCAGCCCAAGAGAACTGTCTGCCTCAAGCAGTAAGTTGCCATCTCATTTCTGAAGCTGCTCACTTTTCCAGGCTCATCAACATTTGATTTAAATGAATATAATGTGATCTTTTGGTGTTTTTATTTTTATTCACATTTAGAAAAGTGAACTATCTCAGGAATTTCTGTGTCAGTTTTTTTTTTTCTCTTCATTTAGTGTCTGTTACTAGAGATGGGAAAAGACACTTAGACATTTCAGTGTGAAAAAACTATTTTCCCTAGTGACTGGATTTTTAAAAAGTTTTTTTTGAAACTTTGCTCTGATAGACACCAGAAGACTATCTAAGTGATAAATCCTGAGGTTTCAAAGTCGATAGAGTCTATTTCTTTAATGTATGATTGTGCAAGTTTAAGTATTCAATAGAGGATGGAGTCAGAGGAAATTAATTTTCTTCTCCTATTTAAGAATTAAATTAAATTATCCTTTAAAAGGAGTATCTCCAGGATTATGCTTCCAGTAGACTGATGCCACAATGATACTGTGATCAGAACCTCAGGAAACCATTATAAAAGACACAGGAAGCAAATTAAAGGGAAAGATAGAGAATAAAGAAAGTTTGGGAGGCAAGTTAAGTTGGCTTGCTGTTGGGTTTTAACACTTTTAAAAGGTAATTTGTAAATTACTGATACTAATCTCTGCCTCTGGTAGTTAAGATTTTTTTAATCTTTGGAGGTTTCTTTCTCTGACTGCTGGATTGTACTCAGCACTCACCCAGTGTAGTTTTGTAAATCATAATGGCTACAGCTTTCCTTGTGGCACTGGGTGGTTTTCCTTCAGGGAGAAACTGTGTATTTTCTCCTGGAACTTGGCTTTGAGATCCTGGGATTATAAAGTGCTATGGAAAGACAAAGATGGATAATGTTTGTGCTCACTGGATGAGTCAAGTGAATCTCAGGATATCTGATTTGCCTGAGAACATGTAATCAAACCCTTAAACAAAGGGAAAATCAGAGACTTTTTTTGTAATTGTGCCTCTCTGTCTGGGAAATAATGCTTTTCCTCTATAATTGTAGATTTGAAGCTGAAAATGCACAGGCCTAATCAGTTAAGGAAGAATTTAGGAACCTGCAGAACGACTTACAAGACTTAAAAAGCAACATAAACATTTATGAGGGACTTGAGGCACCCAGAGAATCCTTCTGAGACAGAGGAATGATGTGGAAATTCATATCTAGGAGGCATAATTGGCAAGGAACTGCAAGGCATAGGGACCTTGGACAGTACTGATAGTCTTTTTCTAAGCATGCCAGAGCATAGAAGAATCTGGATCTGGCTCTCCAAAGGTGGCACCTGTCCAGCAGAGTGGCACTTGCCACATGCCTGACTCCAGGTGCCAGAATGCCCCTAGAAAATGACAGGTTAACCTTGTCTGATACTTAGCAGGCCAGAGAGCTGGATACTGGCTTCCCCACAGCCATGCTCTCTACTGGAATTGCTTCTTAGCTTCCACACTGAAGCCACAGGTAGCAAGGATTATAAAACAACATTTTGTGTGACTTGTGATGAGATTTATTGGGGTTTTTAATCATAATTGTGTCCTGCTGACAAACAGGTTTGCCAGTACAACAGCAAGAGAGCTGCTGCTCTCAACAGCTTAGAGTGCACTGCTTTGAAATCTGCAGGCACCTGCCATGGTGCATCTTGTTCTTTTATGGACAAAGACTTGCAGAAATGTGTAGTATAGAGTTTCAGGTCGTTTTAGTGCAAAACTCGGCAAAACAGACAAATAAGAATGAGAACATCTTATGTTATATGTTCAGAACTAATCAATAAAAAAAAAAATCAATGAGGCATCCTCTGTCTTCAAAGATATGCCAGCTGCTGCTTTAACTTTGTGCAAAAATTGACCTAGATACAGAAAAGTATCTTGCTGGCACCAAAGAGTTAATTTTAATTAGTGTCAAGTATTTCAGATAACTTCCAGGGTTTTCCTGCTGACTAATACACACCAGAAGTTTGAAAAATTTCTTTTTCAAATACTTTGCCATTTTTGAAAGGATTTTTAAAAATAAAAGTTCTTTTAGGGAACACTCAGATTCACTCTAGGCATCTATTTTATATCCTATATTGCTGTCAGCTTCCTGTGATTACTTTTAAGTAGAGAAGACTTTCCTTAAAACAAGGAAAGTTTGATGGAATTCAGTAGACTGCAAATATATCTGGTTTGATTGCTTTGTGTAATGTGAAAGGAATCCTTCTATCCTAGAATGTCTGCATTAATGCTGACATGCCATTTTCCAGTGTCTATTACTTCACACAAATGAAAACTTACTGACAGCTTTGCTTGGATGATTTCAAGGAAAATCAAATGTGTCTGAATACAGGGGTTAACATCTTGAATAACATGAACCTGAATATTGTTACACTCTAATGTAGTGCACAACAGTGAAAATCAGATGGGAAAATACTAAATAATTAATTTTCTTTTTTTGTTTAGTATTAGTTGGGTCCATAGTACTCATTTACCTTATTTATGTTAGTAATATATTTCTTTCACTGCACATGTGTTCCCTGAAATTATAGCTATTTTCTTGAAGAACCAATTCAGTGACTCTATTTTTATTCTAATTTTTTAAAATTCAAATGTGGTAGAGTAATCATAATTTATAATTTAATCAATCCTATTCCTTGGCTACTGCTGGAAATACACAGTGCACTAACTTTGGGATCTTCATTCATTCAGCAGGAAATCTAATAACAAATACCTGTAAATAACTTTGCAGACAAATGAAATGCGTGGTGTTTGGTTTTGTTATTGTTTTATTTCATATGACAGCTTGATAAATGGCAAGTGAAGTGTAAAGCAAAGTGACTGGGACAGATGTAGAGCAGCACAGAAACAGGGGACAAGTAGATAACACTGACTAGAAGTGAGGTGTTGATGCCTTGGATAGTTCAGGGTTTTCAAGATTCTGTCAAAGACGTGATTTTTTTTTTCTTTGGGGCCCAATAAAGGAGTAATGCAATAATGTATCCCAGTAATTGCTATTTATGTTTTAAGCAATGCCAGGTTTTGTATTGGGTATCATGATTGCCTGGTTTGTACTGTCTTTAGTTCTTTCTACTCTCTGTTGTGTTCTGGCTGCATGGTAACACTGTGTTTAATACTTGTGTAACTGTGTTTAAGGTCCGCGTTGTCTCTCCAGAAAACCAGTTGTGCAGGCACCTGTTATTTCTAAATTTTGGGCAAAACTGCAACTGTGCAGTTGCATAGCTGCATAAAATGCCTTCCATTAGAGCATTTTATCAGTGAATTCTCCCCAAGGCAGCTGGTAAATGAACTGTTGCAGACTTTGAAAACAAAAGTCTCCAGTTTAGTCAGACCTTAATTTTTAAAAAGTACCACACTGGCTTCCATTTTCTCCCGGGTGCACAAGAGGTGTTGTGAGAAGTCCAGCTGAGAGCAGAGCAGCTGTACAGGGATCCCCCCCCTGGGACAGGCACAGGAGGTGGTGCCGGCAGGCTGTGGGGCTCGAGCCAGCACTCTTGTGGCCCAGGCGTCATCTTTGGAATCCAGAAGAGACTATACATGGCTTCGAATGTAGTTTAGTCGCTCTTCCTCAACTGAGGTTTTTTTCCTTGCGAAATTCACTTTTCCAACAATAAGGAACTTCAGTAATAAGAATGCTGTGTCATTTTCTACCTTTCTCTGTTGGTTCCTTATCTGGGTGCTGGTCTGGAAGTTTTAGTTGTTTCTGATTATCTTTTTGCTGAAAGGTTGGATCATTTTAGTGATGTACATGAACTAGCTAGGAAATTGCATTTCAAGTGACAAGCATGTTTTCTGGGACAAACCTCCCTACCCAAAAGAAACTGAAGCATTCCAATCACCTTACAGGAGTTTTCATTTTGGAAAAGTCATCTTTCAAAATGGTGACAAAGACTTTCACCGTTGTTTCTTTTCAGTGAAATAGAAACTTGTGTCCTATAAATGCCGGTGGTGAGACTGTTTGGAAAGGAGCAGAGGGAAGATATTTCAACTTCCCTTTCTTTGTAAGAGTCTCTCCTGTGAGTACAGAGCATTAGAGTACAGCCAAGATGTGGACCAGAGTTTTCAAACTGACCCCCAGAGTGTTCCATGAATAATCCTGGGTGCAGCTGTTCCCCAAGCAGCCAGCGTCCACGTGGAGATTTCACATCGTGTTTTGTGTGTTTGTCCTTGTCTGCTCTGCACATTATGTTCTGGCTCCAAGAATGTCAGCTCTTTGGGACAAATGCTGTCATGCCTATCAGTACAGAGTCTACAGGGTTGGATTTGGCCTCATAACTGGGGATCTTTGCTCTATTGTGATATAAATAATAAGCTAATGAACTTGTGGGAAAAGGTATCTTTGTTAATTATTCAAAAGCCTCATCTCTTTGAAAAAGATGCAGGCAGTGAAGTTCCCAGTAAATAAATGAAACTTCCAACAAGGTTATGATAATACTGAAGTAAAGCAGAGCCAACATACCATACCTGCTGAAAAAGGAAGAGGTGGGAAATTAAAAATAGGAATAATCTAAATCTTTTGCCTCACTGCCCAGACACTGGCAGGAAAGTGAGCTTGTATTTGAAACACAGAGCATCAAAATGGAGAAGCAAATTTACTTTACAGTCCTCCTTAAAAGGCTCTTTAATTCTTAATGCAGTCCTATAGTCAGGTCATAACTGTCCTTTCATTAGATAAAAATATAAGTGATTGCTGCCAAAAGTAATGTCAGAGCTGATGTACAAGCATCACAAACTTCTCCATTAGAAATTAGCTGAAATGCTTTTAGTAATTAGCTAATTAGCTTTTAATCATAGTTCTTGAGAAAAGTCTGCAGCTTGGATTTATAACTGGTCACATTTGACTAATTTTTCATTATTTTGTTCTTTATAATTTTTTCCTGGAGCTCTCTGAAAACTCCTTCAATTCCATAGGGAATTAAAAGTGCAGGGGAAAGTTGTCTGACTGTTGCTAAGCACGATATCTGCAGTGATTTGAAAAGGTGTTGAGCAACATCCAAC